GTATTTACTGAGAAAAATGGTGACGTGTTCAATACTTATTTTACCCGCTGTATATACAGTATATCCCACTGTGTAGAGAGGTCCGAACCTGAAGGCAACCTAACATGCATGCTTTAGTCTGTGGGAGGAAATTGGAGTATCCGGTGAAAACCCACACAAACACAAGAAGAACATGCAAACGCCACACAGAAACACAGAGGTCCAAAAGCTAGAGAGCTGAGCAAATGGCTAGTCAGAGCAGGGAAAAATCAGCACTCAAACAAATGTGTAATGTGATACTAACAGTGGTGGAAACATTTTAAACGTTTGTGTTTGATTTGTACTTTGAAAGCTGATGTCAAAGTTTTTGGAAATCTGGTCCAGAAATTCAGACAAGCATGCCTTGAAAAAAAACTTTTATTAAAGAAAGCAAAAAGGCTGGCTTTGGAGCAAAACGATACTAGGAGCTACAGAGGAGACACAGACATGGCCCAAAACGTACACCAGACTGAAGGTGGAGTAAAAACTGACTGACCAAAGAGGGCAGAGGATGATGAATAGAGTGGAAACATCTGGGTAAAATGGCAACTGGGAACAGGTGCGAGTGGGTGGGGCAGGAGTTAAGAAACAGAAACTGAGGAAAAAGCAACTGGYGACAGAGGGAAACACAGGGAGGCAATCAAACAAACTGAGCACAAAGAGAATACAGAGCATCAAGATAAACCTTGAAAGAGAAAAATTACACACTTCTAAAAACAGGGRCCATGAAAGCTTGTCATTAGGCACCAAATGGACCCATTTTCGAACAGAATTAMTAAATTAATCAAAATTTTATTCATGGTCTCTCTTCCAGTTCACAAAATGTCACAAAAAGTTGTGCCACAAGGCATTGTCTAGGACCTACCTTCTTCACAATTTACTATATTACCATGGAACAGAATATTACTGATGTTTTCTTTTTGTCACAGCTGTTCTCCAGCCGAATCAGGATGTCTGACTCTCAGGGCTGGGCTCTGAACAGCAGTGCATCTCCTCTCATCAATCATTWCTCCAGATTCCCTACCACCTCCTCAAAGGACCACGTCCTCAGTTCACCACAGATCTTCAAATCAGGTCCAAGCCATAGGCAACAACACAACCAGCAGGAAGAACTAACTAAGAGGGTGAGTTTGTTTAATCATCCCTGGGGAAAAAAAAAGGTAAAAATTCAAGTGTCGTTCTGAGTCTCAAAATTTGTTTGACTTCTGTCTGCAGCCTTACAGCAACTTACAACGCCAGTCAGGCATGGAGAAAGAGCAGGAGCTGAGACAAGAGGAGGAAGAGGAGGAAGAAGATGAAGTTGAAGAAGATGAGGAGTCTGAAGAAGAAACGGGGCTGAAGCCACACACTAGCCGGCAGTCATACGCTGCTCTGTATGCACAGATGCGCAGACAGAAGTGAAAGCCAGGATGAAAGACCCCCATCTATCCCTGTTACAGTCTTTTCATTAAGTTTTAGACTTTCATCATTATGCTGGACTGCTGGATATGGGCACCAGTGACCCACGYGACSCTGAAAAGGAAGAAGCGTGWACAGAAAATGGATGGATGGATCATTATGCTGTTAACAATATTTGTATCCAAAAACCTGACGAATCCAATCAGTTAAATTACAAGCTTCTTTTGGCGACATAGTATGGAGCTAAAAGAGTCTCAATATTCACAGATTCACATGTACACAGGACAAAGCAAGGCAAAATTTTCAAGTTGAGGCAAGTCGGMGTCTCAAAATCCACAGTGAAGTTCACAGACCAACAGTTTGTAAATCAAGATATATTTGTGTTAAATATGCACATGTAAATCTCCCTACGCATTTGTAAATAGTGAGACTCCTTAAACTCCATAACATAAAGACCTGCATGACTTATTTTTTGCTTTTAAACTCAGAGAAGACAGAGGTTGTGGTTTTGGTGTGCTGATCATTACCAACATGCATGGTAAAAAATGGAACAGCATGGGAGTAACAAGGAATACAAGCATTAAATTAACTTCTTTTGAATAAAAATAACATTGAATTTTATTATTTTTATTTTCTACATTATGTCGGAAAATGAGTCCTGCACAAATGATTTGCACGTATCAGTTACTAATAATCTAAAACTGTACTACAAACAGAAAAAAAACTGGTGTTAGCATGAAAACCACGGGTGTCCTGATATCATTTTTTCCTCAAACGAAGTACGAGTACAAATATTTCAGTTTGGGTACTTGACATTGTCCAGTACCGACACCAAGTATTCAATGAGTTGGAGCTTAAACAYGACACAGTGACTTTAAAAAACAATTCTTTAGAACAACATGGTTCTCCTTCCTTATGGGCCTACAACCTCTCTGACTGGACCACATCAAATTTATAGCATGATATATACAGTTGAAACATTGACAAAAAATAGAAATAACAAAATTCAACTGGTATAAATTTTTAAACATGGAACTGACCAAGTAACTTGAAATGTAAACTGTAGCGCATTAGTAATAGTATTGATACTGGTATTCAATAAGTCATCAGTCCCAAATATTGAAGCATTTTGAACGAGTACTTGTAAAAATGCTGGTATCAGGCCCTTTGCTGATACCACTATTTGTATGGGGACACCGCTACTAAAAACAAGACCAGTAATATTCTATAAAATAACACATTTTTTTCTACCACAAATAATGAGTCAGACAGTTTTTTTTAGCATAGGAATGTTTAATATTGTGTACCATTTGAACAGAAAGTTGAAGGAGTACACTTCACTGAATGCACTTACAGAGCAACATCACTGGGCTGCACTGATCTGAGATGAGATTACACTTGTGACCAGATAAACAGAGCAGGAATACTGGATATTAGAAGCACTGGTAGACAATAGAGTTGATGTGAGCGTGTATCATCCCATCAGCTTGTCCATCAGATTAGTTAGAGCAACCAGGGTTCTCATGAGGTTAAAAAAAAAGAAAGAAGAAAAGAAAAGAAAGTCTTCACAGTATTAGTTTGTCACATCCATGCATGTCATTTTAAGTTGTCCATGTCACACCTGAAATGGCACTTTATCAAATAAAATATATTAAAATAATATAAAGTGAGAGAAAAATTAGAGCAGGTTGTTTACTTTCATCACCGCAGTAGGTATGAGGAAAAGTTGAGGATCGGACTTGATCGTGCAGGTTACTTCTGCTTGTTTAAAAAAAACATCTCAAATTCTTTGGGCTGCATTGTATTAAATGTTACCACAGTCCAACAACTGAATCAGAGAAAATACTAAAACAACAAAATAAAACTTTACAGATGGGGAGCACAGAACATATCAAACGTGTTTGAAATGGTTACAAAATATATTAGCACAGAGAGAAGCACAAAGAGTTTTATCCTCAACGTAGTTTTCCTTTTCTTTTTATAATTCTTTTTCAAAGCAAACATAGAACAAATCAACATATTAAAATCTATCTTTTGACACAATGAGAAGTTGGCAAGTTCGTCAAAAAACCATGAAACGAAACGATAAAACAGCAGAATAAAACAACACAGTTTTGTTTACAGGCAACRATTCCACAAAGGCAGCTCAGCCATGAGTCCCAGTCACTGCAGAGGTACAGTAGGAGTTAAACCAACCGCTTTTTGCTTTAAGAAGTAGCAGAAGTACGTTTAAAAAAGTCCTCTCTCGCTGTTTGACTCCAGGAAACCGTTCTCTTATCCGATTATTCTTTAACCTATAAAGTGCTTTCATAAAAATAATCTCATCCTCATTAGAATCCTTTGCTTCTGTACAAGTTAAGATATTAATCCTGGAAAGGTTACAAGTTGGAAAGAAATAAGGGGGACAGTTAAAAAGGTCTTTCAGGCACGAGCAGAGAGCTCTTCACGTCTGATTCTGCYGCTCCGCCCCCTTCCACAACTTCACTTCTCGTCTTCTCTCTTGGGTTTCACTTCTTGAAGGGAGTCAGTCTGCCAATGTTGTGCCAGAAGGTGGTTTTGCGTTTGGGTTCAGCCAGCATAAAGACCTGCTGCTGGGGCAAAGCGGTGGGGAGGGAGGGGTGCTTCTGTCGCAGGAGGAAGTCGCAGTATGGCCTGGTCACTGCTGAAAGTAAGAACACATATGAGAGTGCGGAAATTAGCAAATAATTATGTGAAGCCATGAAACATGAAACTATGAAAAAGTGACACTAAACAATAGTAGATTATGCATTATTATTTCTATATCTATACAGCTATATATCTATGGACAGAACGGAAACAAATTGGAGAAACCACTGCAAATTCTTGAGATTGAAGTTGTTGCAAGGGTTGCACTGCAATGCACTGCATATTTCTCCCCATACCATTTTGAGACTTAATCTTCAGTTTGATGTGATGGGTGACATTTATATGCCTGAAGGCACCAAGTTACTACCATGTGATTGGCTGATTAGCTTTTTGTGTTAACAAGCAATTGAACAARTGGACCTAATAAATTGTCCAGTGAGCGTAAAACCTCATACAATCAAGTTACCTCTCTTACCCTAAAGTTAATACATACCTTTGGGTTTCCCAGCTGGATGTCTCTTACAGGCATTCAGCATGGCCTGTTTCTTTTGGACTTCAGTCAGAGAGAAGCCTGAACAAGAGAGGGAAAAAAGTGGTAGTTTCATTCATTAGTTACATAGTGACTTGGAGAAAGATTTCATCCACTTTTTCACTTTGTGAGTATGGGATTGGGCAACCCATTMTCACTCCCAACTCGTCACATATTGACGCTTGGTCAGGTATTGTCTGCGTCCGGTTTTGGACTCGTCGAGCAACCCCTTACACTACACGCTCCGGTCCGACCTCCGCAGCAAATACGCACCCATTATAATCAATGAGAGTGTTTACACTGGCTGCGCACCGCGGCTATGAGCGGCAGTGAGCGGCGGTGAGCGGGCGGTGATCCGTCAAAATTAGAACAGATCCTATTTCTGCTGGACGCCAGAGCTGCGCCGGAGTCAATTTTTAAAGATTACGTCGCACCAACAGGAAGAGGGACGAGCACAACATGTGTATTTACAAAATAAGACCCTATTAGGCGGAATAATTTGTCGGAATCATGTCAAAATCTCAGCTATATTACTCAATATATGAATATATTTCTACACAAATGCTGTCAGAATGTATCGTTCTGTTTGGGAAGCAGATGGAAACATGTAGCATGAAGCATATGTGTACACACATGATACACGTGGATTTTATTTTGAAATCAGAAGTTTCAAGAAGACGACAGGGAGACTGTTTCAACATAGATATCAAAAGCCTTTATATTAATGTTTGGCRTGTTTAGAGTTTGTCTTATTTTTTTGCTCTGACTTCCACATCACTGGATTTATCGCGCAATCTCCTTCCTCCACACCCTCCCTCTTCTGTCTGTCGCACCGGAGTGGAGCTGAGCAGAGATGCATTTAGTATAGATCCGGGGTAACCCCATCGTGTCAGTTGTTCATGAAATGAGACATAGGAGGTGGAGCCCGTTGTCATATTTTTGAAAAGAGTAGAAAACGCACGACAACTAACCATCCCAGACCCTAAATGGAACTTCTATTAGCCCTATACATCCTATTCCTGATCTCCGTACCTAAGATTAACCAGTAATCATGACGCCTAATATTAACCACAGACCCCAACCCAAAGACCCCTACGTGGTGCGAACCGAGAAAAGCCACAGGTGTCAATAACAGAGGCAAGGGGTTTACCCGACGTGTACCTGACCAAGCATCAATATGTGACAAGTTGGGAGTGAGAATGTGTTGGATTGGGAGTCTGTTGCTACAGGCCATTCACTCCCTATACAAACACTGCAACAGATCTCATTTTACTTCATTGTGTGAGCATCTGAGAGACCGAGCAATTCAAAACATTTTCAACCAGTTACAGCCAACATACATGACACCGCAGCATGAACTTCGCACACATCTGACCTGTCTCACGGTCATGGAGAACCTGCTTCCTTTCATCAGCAAAGGCTCTGAGCCAGCGTTGCTTCTGTTCAGGTTTCTTGGTGGAGAGGAGGTGAACCTCATCACCAGTCAGTGAACGAAGCTTAAGAGCATTCTTCACATTGATGTTAAAATCCTTTTCTTTGCCATCTTCTACGTCTACCACCTCCATCTGATCCATGTCCACCCGGCCCTTGTAGTACAGTATGTCCCGACGCAAGAGGTCCTGCAATGAGAAGAAGTAAAACACAACTTAGAGAAACAGTAAAAATAGGAAAGTTGGGTCCTGAATGGCTTTGTTAAAATATGACGAAAAGGCACAAATCAAAATGGTAAAGCTAAAAATAAGCAGAGCAGAGGCTAAAATATGCAAAAAAGGCTTAAATGAGCAAAACGGTCTAAAATGAGCATATCAGTAGCTAAAATTAGCAATGCTATTCACAAACTGAAATAAAGCCTAAATGAACAAAATAGATGCTAAAGCTAAAATTAGCAAATCAGAAGGCAAAATTAGCAAAACAAAAGTCAAAGCAAAAATTTAATCAATTGTAGCTAAAAGTAGCAAAACACATTCTAAATTTAAAAACAAAATTAGCAAAATAGTAGCTACAGTTACCAAAACTGAAGCTAAAGCTAAAATTAGCAAATCAGAAGGCAAAATTAGCAAAACAAAAGTCAAAGCAAAAATTTAATCAATTGTAGCTAAAAGTAGCAAAACACATTCTAAATTTAAAAACAAAATTAGCAAAATAGTAGCTA